CTTTTTGTGCGGTTTTCAGGAGTAGGTGCGGGTTTTGGGATCTTAGTCCTAGTAGGTGGAATCTGGTTGTTGAGAAAGTTTCTTAAGAAGAGAAGGATGACTCAGAGGAAAAGAAAGTTTTTTTAAACGTAACGGGGGACTATTGTTGCAACAACAATTAAATACTAGAGAAGGCAACGTCGAGAAGACAAAGATATTCACCTCGAGAGAGCTTGAAAAAGCCACTGAAACAGGATACTTGGACAAGGTGGTCAAGGCACTGTGTACAAGGGAATGCTCGTAGATGGTAGAACGGTTGCTGTCAAGAAATCCAAACTTGTAGACGAAGACAAACTCGAAGAGTTCATCAACGAGATTGTCATTCTCTCCCAAGTCAAGCTCCTTGGGTTGTTGTCTTGAGACAGAAGTTCCTGTTCTGGTTTACGAGTTTATTCCCAATGGTAACCTTTTCCAGCACATCCATGAAGAATCAGATGATTACACGATGATATGGGGAGTACGTTTGCGCATTGCTGTAGATATCGCAGGAGCTCTTTCGTATTTGCATTCTGATGCGTGTTCTCCTATTTATCACAAAGACGTCAAGTCAACAAACGTATTACTAGACGAGAAGTACCGAGCCAAAGTGTCCGATTTTGGTACTTCAAGGTCAGTAACTGTAGATCATACTCACTGGACAACTGTTATTTCAGGTACAGTTGGATATGTGGATCCAGAGTATTACGGATCTAGCCAATATACCGACAAGAATGGTACAGTTGGATATGTGGATCCGAAAACAGTACATGAATCCGTATTTTCCAAGGTCTATGCGGCGTCAAGTCTACAAGCTTTTCTTGAACTTCTGCCGTTAAGAGAATCAAGAAAAGAAAAAGGATCCGAGTTACCTCAAATATAAAGAGATCCATATCAGGTTACAGCCACCTTGTGTTCCTGCTTTCTCACATGTATTAACGGATGGCGGACGGGGGTCTTGCTCATCTTAGATTGTCACTAAGTACCTGACATGAAAAGAAAAAATTTAGACGTGCATACAGAGGCTAAAGATTATAGGGAACTAGAGAACCCATAAATAAAATTCTTGATAGTACCTTACGATTGGATGATAGTGTTTATGAAGAATCCTTGCAATTCCACAAATACAGAGACCAACCTTTTTACAACTCTTCAGGTTTTACATTCAGATCCCATTGTTCTAGTTGCAAGGAGATTATTTCCTCCACCCAGTGAGAGAGTAGATAAGATTCTTTGAGGTTTACTGAATTAGAACAACACTTGAAGAAGCCCCAGTCTTTGAAAGTATCACTTTCAAAATCCTCGAGGGTAAAATGCCAAACCGCAGAGCTTACAAAATGTATAACCACACGACGCAGACATTATAACAAAAATGACTTGAGCAAACACTTGGGATTATTATTGAAATATATATACATATAACCTTATTAGCACATTCACCTACCAAATCCGCAATCCATATTCAAAGACTAAACATGAAGCCAGAGACCTCGCCTACATAGCTTGAGAATTTATGGAGAATTGTATTATGCAAACTTGTTAACTGCGTTAGACAAACTGAACAGTAATCTGCAAACACATTCTGGTTAATCATACCAGCTTCCTTATCTAAATTAGTAGTGCGTATGCATAAGTAGCTGGAGAACGAAAAACACAACCTTTATCCTTCCACATGCGTAATATGATCATTCAGTTTCTGAAAAAAATGATTAATAGATCAAGCCCTTCTAAGTCCTTAGAACACTAATATTATTCTGTTTCTGAAAAAAAGGATTTAACATATCATAAATTACCTTTATTTTGGTCATTAAATGCTCTGTTTGTTTGTGATTTGGTTGCGATGATAGCACATGTATTAAAGAGCACAAGTGATGCTCAATATTGAGTATGTGATCCCCTTCCTGGTTAGAAGGAATGGTTCATATGCAAGAAGCATATTTAGAGAGCACAAGTAATGCTCAGTATCGAATATGTGATCATCTTTGAAGTATACAAGAAGCATATGAAAGAGCAAGAAAAATAAGAGAGATGCAAGAAGTATATTAAAGAGATGCAAGAAGCATATAAAAGATGCTCAATCTTAGGTGTGAGATCCTACACGTGCTCTTATAAGCATATTAAAAGAGCACGAGTGATGCTCAATCTTAGGTATGTGATTCTCTTCCTGATTTGAACTGATGACTCATATGCAAGAAGCATATTAGAGGGCACGAGTAATGCTCAGTATTGAATATGTGGCCCTCTTTGTGGTATGCAAGAAGCATATTAGAGTGCACGAGTGATGCTCAATATTGAATGTGTGACCCTCTTTGTGGTATGCAAGAAGCATATGAAAGAGCAATAAACACACACGGGACACAGTCTGGAGGGAGAGAGAGCCGGGCAAAGAACAAATCCCGTGCCATCTCCCGTCCCTCCGCAGAACCAAAAACTGTATATTTTCATTAAGGGTTTTGACCTGCCAAGCAAGCGCACCCGTCATGGCAAAGGTCATATACATCCCCTCGCTATTTTCTTTTTCCCCCTCAAGAGTTTGAAAGCTCAAACATTTATAATCTATAGATATAGATAACGCATTAAGCAAATACCCGAACCAAGATCGTTCCTATGTCATCATCAGGACTTATGCTTGGCTCGATCAATGAGAATTGATCGTTCCAGACGTTGTTTGTCAATCCCTAGAGAAATACAAATCCGAAATCCGACTTCATACGAACCAAACACAATCCAATACCTCGATCAAAATCACGAAACACTAGACATATAAAAAAGAAAGTACCTCGATCCCAAAGTATGATTCTTAATTATATAGGCTAGCTAAATTTTTATTTTGAGTAAATCATTGGACTAAAATCCAAAACTAACTAATTGAAAATAGAATGTTTTATTGTATTACATAGACAACATTTTGGTTGCTATTTATCAACCAAGTTTCAACGAAAATACACTACTTTTTACATTGTCATTTTTTTTTTGTCACCGAATATTAAAGTTACATTAATGACATTTTTAATATTAATCCTATATACAAGAAAATCTTATGTTGTTCTCTCGTGGGATTTTCCTCTTCAGAACTCAACAACAGTTAGGCAATGAAAGTATGAAAAGTATCTAACAAAGCTAATCTCTAGAGAAGTATTTCCAAACCTTGTCTCAGTTCAACGTCCTCTTATGTCGATACAGAGCTCTCACCAACCACCAAACTCAGGTTCTAATGGCTTCATTTGCCAACTTAGTCTGTTAACGGGCTTGCGCTTGGGCTTCGACTTGTTGTTTATCACATAAAACGTTGAAAATCTATTGTTAGTGTGGAGTGGTTCTCGGACTTGTTCATTTTAGAAGATATTTTCGTCTTCTTCTAGAACTCAAATACAATTATTTTATGGTTGGGATGCGTTTCTCACAACCCGTATTTCAGAATCATTTAATACCATGATAGTGAGAGTTTGTAGGGCATGTTTAGAAAAAGTAAATGGTTGGTCTCTTCTTTCTTATAACTCAAACAAGGCGGCTTTGCTTATTGACCTTAAGCTATCAAAGATTAGCCAACTGGTTGATTTATTTATGCTCGGACGAAAATTGTTTCTGAAGTATTTTATGATATCTAAAAAACAAAAAAAAAAAGTTCTTATGAAACTCGAGATACTTGATCTTGCTCTGTAGCCTGTGTTGCAAGTAACCTGTGAGTCATCTTGCTTGTTTAGCAAGGAACAGATTCAGTCCACCAAGAGAAGCAACATCATGAGGTGCCACAACAATTATCATTCCTTGTCGATTCTTCTCTCTCTTCTACTTGTTCTCATTCTTAATTCAAAAGCTATCGCTCTCCCGAGTCCGTCTTGTCAAAAGGAATCATGTGGAAACATAAAGATCATGTACCCCTTTGGAATCCAACAAGGTTGCTATCTCAACGAATGGTACAAAATCGAATGCAGAAACGCTACTTCTCCGTTTCTTTTCAAGATGGGCTTACAAGTTGTGAACATCTCTCTTCCTAGTGATGGAGAGTTCTTATATAAATACACTTCCTTCGGGTCGATTCGTGTCAAAAGCCTAATAACCTCCCTTGGATGTTCAAGAGATGGAAAAGAGACCGAATCGGTTTTGAATTTTACTGATAGTCCTTTTTTCTTTGGAAGAGGAAACAGCCTCGTAGCCGTTGGTTGCAACAGCAAGGCATCCTTGACTAACATCGAATCGACGATTAAGTTGGAATGCGAGTTGAATTGCAATGCAACCAAAGAAGCGCTACCTAGCAAAAGCGTCCCCTTTTTCGACAAAACCGGATGTTCTTCTAGCAACGCGCTGCCTTACGCTAACACTGGGGGTTGTACCGCGAACAAAGGAGAAGAAGAAAGAAGCTGCGATGGTAACGGATGCTGTCGAGCAAGTCTACCGGATGAAGCTGAGGCTCAACAGGTGATTGGTGTTAGATTAGAGAGCTTTCAAGATGATAATTCGACAAACGGAGAATGCAGAGTCGCTTTCTTAACTGATGAAGTCTACACTTTATCAAATGCGACCAAACCACAAGGCTTTTTCGATAAAGGGTATGCTACAGTTACGATAGGATGGGTCATTCAGACGAATAATCTTTCTTTGGTAAACTCCTTGAGCTGCAAAAACACAAATGATTACTATAACTTTACAGAAAACGTTCGAAGTTATATAAGCTGTCTATGCAGCAATATCACCATTTCTGGTACTAACTATGCAAATTGTGGATGCAATCAAGGATATACAGGCAACCCATACCTTTATAACGGATGCAAAGGTTAGTAAGTTGTTTCTAAATTTTCTCTGTTTTTGTGTGTGAAAAGTGAAAACATCATGTGATGATTATAAAACATCGTCAAGCTCATTATAATTCCATTATCCAGATGTTAATGAGTGCCTTTTACGCTTCGAAAATGGCGGGTACTGTAGTGCAAGCCAAACTTGCATAAATAAGCCTGGAGGTGCTGATTGCGTGGCCGATAAGACTATAGCAATAATGATAGGTACTATAGTCTTTAGAATGCATCTTTAGAATCAGTCATTTTTATGAAGATACTCTAGCAAATCTAAACATACTATTTGCGCGGTTTTCAGGACTAGGCGCAGGTTTTGGCATCTTAGTCCTAGTAGGTGGAATCTGGTTGTTGAGAAAGTTTTACAAGAAGAGAAGGAAGACTCAGAGGAAAAGGAAGTTCTTCAAACGTAACGGTGGACTATTGTTGGAACAACAACTAAATACAAGAGAAGGTAACGTCGACAAGACGAGAATATTCAGCTCGAAAGAGCTCGAAAAAGCCACTGAAAACTTCAGCGAAAATAGGATTCTTGGACAGGGTGGTCAAGGCACTGTGTACAAGGGAATGCTTGTTGATGGTAAAACTGTTGCTGTCAAGAAATCCAAAGCTGTAGATGAAGACAGGCTCGAAGAGTTCATCAACGAGGTTGTCATTCTCTCCCAGGTCAACCATAGACATGTCGTCAAACTCTTGGGATGTTGTCTCGAGACAGAAGTTCCAGTTCTGGTTTATGAGTTTATCCCCAATGGTAACCTTTTCCAGCACATCCATGAAGAATCTGATGATTACACAATGATTTGGGGCGTGCGTCTACGCATTGCAGTAGATATTGCAGGAGCTCTTTCGTATTTGCACTCTGCTGCGTCTACTCCAATTTATCACAGAGATGTCAAGTCAACAAACGTATTACTGGACGAGAAGTATCGAGCCAAAGTTTCCGATTTCGGTACTTCAAGATCAGTAACCCTTGATCATACTCACTGGACAACATTTGTTTCAGGTACAGTTGGATATGTGGATCCCGAGTACTACGGATCTAGCCAATATACCGATAAGAGTGATGTTTATAGCTTTGGAGTCATCCTCGTTGAGCTTATTACCGGAGAGAACCCTGTAATAACCCTTCCGGATTCTCAAGAGATAAGAGGCTTAGCGGATCATTTCAGAGCTGCAATGAAAGAGAACAAATTCTTCGATATTATGGATGCTCGAATAAGAGATGCCTGCAAACCGGAACAAGTAATGGCGGTGGCAAATCTAGCCCGGAGATGTCTGAATTCGAAGGGAAAGAAGAGGCCATATATGAGAGAAGTGTTTACCGAGTTAGAGAAGATATATTCATCTCCAGAGATAAAGATTGAGAATGACGACAGTGTTGATGAAGAGGAGGAAGGAATGAATATGATAAACATGGCTGATTCGTGGACCATTGGTGTTACTGCTCCAGTCCCTAGTACTATGGCTTCGTCAGATGTTGAACCATTGTTTCCTCGTTCCACATGGTGAAGTGTTAAAAAGGGAAGGTATTTCTGAATAATATTCGATGCTAGCTACTTTCAAAGGTTTGGTTTTTGTTGTACTTTAGATGTTGTGATTACCTCTGTTCTTGTTTTTCTAAGGGTATGGAAATGAATAGTTGTAGAAATATCGGTTAGAGGAAAAACAATAAATGTAATAATTTGTTCAAATCTTGAATTGAAAAATCTCTTTATATATTTCCATATGAGAAAAGATTCCATGCCAATCTTTAACACTAGGATTGAGTCGATTGACTATTATGGCCATATGCATTACCTCGCTTGGCTACCTTTGGTTATTGTGTGCAGTGTGCTTGTGAGTCTCGATATGCGTTCTGAAGAAATCAGTATGCTCCAACCACCTCAAGATAACTTTTGCCCTATTAGGATCAGTCTTATAGAGTGCCGTGAAAAACTCTTTTCTACATTCTTGTTTACTATCTACAAAAAGAATCATATGAGAAAAGTTGAGATCAAAAGAAACACCAAACCGCCATCTTACCAAATTATGTGACGTTGCTGGATTCGATGATGTTGAGAAC